TTGTCCAGCTCCAGTCAAGTGGCTGTGGTTCTCTCTGCCCTCTCACTCATTTCCTCCCGGGCAGGCCTTAATCTCTGTGGTGAAGGCACTCCCTGAAGAAAGGAGAAGGTGGAGGCATGGGCTTCCCCAGTGGCTCAGAGGGTTGAGCGCAGCACTGTGAAGCTGTCCATAGCCTCTGCACCATGGGTTCAATCCCAGCCAGCCAGGGAGATACCCACATGGTGTGTCAGACCTCTCCTAGCTCGCCCGCTGCTCCCCTCAGCAGCGTTTTCCATCCATCTGCCAGTTGTTCTGTTTCCCACTCTGTCTCTGGTGAATCCTCTTACCCTCCTGCACCCCTGGCCTATACCCCAGTTCTTGTATAAAAAATAAATAAATCTTTAAAAAAAGAAGAAGGTGGAGGTGGAGGCAAACATGGCTGGCCTTACAACCTACAGTTTCTCAGACTGTGATCCAGAGACCCCCCACCCCAAGGTCTCCAGGAGCTTGGAAAATGTACTATGTACTCATCCACTACCCCAGACCCTCTGTATCAGAATCTCTTAGCAACTGAATTTTCAACAATATTGATTTCAAACAATCTGTAAAGCAGACTGAATTTGGAGAACACCTACTTTTCCTGACAGGTGATGTAATGAAAGGGGGTCACCTGACAGGAGGGTTTCTTCTCAGCAGTGTCTCCCTCGTCTTTACCCCTGCATTTTACTCACCAGCCCTCTTTCCATTCAGGCCAGCAGATGCCCGGGTCTAGGCTCAGGGTGTAACAGGGTGGTCCCGAGGAAAGGGGGAGGTTCCCTGCCCCACCCAAGGGAGGGTGGAGCTGAGCAGGAAGAGGAGAAGCTGCAGAAGAGACTGAGGAAGGAAGCAGGATGGAGCCAGGAGACCTGGAGGAGGCGCATGGAGCCTAGAGACACGTGAAGAAACTGCGCTTGTCTTTTGGTCGTGGACTGGGTGACACAGATGTGGGTGAGACCCGTGGGGAGGTGACAATGGCAGCTTTTATCTTGATGTTGATTTTGCTCTTTTCCTTCCGGACTTGTCCGGTTGTTTGTGACCGTTTTCTGTGGGTCCCCACTGGAAGATGCTTTAGACTTTTAGCAGGCTTTGGGGCCTTGTTCTGGGCCGATCCCATATGGATGGACTTTTACCCACGAGGGGATGGGTAACTTTGGGTGCTACATTTAGAAACTAGATTCTTTGCCTTTCCTGTATTGTTTCCTAATTAAAGTTCCTTCCCATTAAAGTCTCATATGTTTTGTGTTGATGCGGCGGATGGCAGAACCCATTTAGAATAGGCAGGTTTGCGGGGCTTGGGCTGCCCCTCTCCCTGTCCTATAACAAGGGGATGTGCCAAATATTTTCCTCCACCCATGAACTCCCTGTTTTTCAAAGAAACATTGGCAGAGGCTAAGGACAGTCAGGGAGTGGCGGGGACATCTGCCCAGTTGGAGGGCTTGGGCACTCAGCCCATGGGCACACTGAGTCCCCCTGTGCTGCAGAAAGGAGCAGGACATCCAGGGAGTGCACAGGGAGGGCACCCACCCCTGTGCTGGCCTGGGGCAGACAGGAAGGCACTGGCCTCTGTAGCATCTCCCCCAAATTCCGAGGGTAGCGCCTAGCAAACAAACTATATCTCGGTGTGCAAAAGTTCCGCCACCCCCTTTTCTACCTTTGGAGAAAACACATTTATTAAGAACGAAAGAGGGCCTCCCTGGTGGCGCAAGGGGTTAAGTCTCAGCACTATGAAGCTATCAGCAGCCACTGCAGCACCAGTTCTTGGCTCCCCAGCCAGGGAGGTCACCCACATGTCTCCTGTCTTGCCCGCTGCTCCCCTCAGCAGTGGATTTCAGTAGATCTGCCTGTTCTGCTTCCTACTCTTATCTCTGGTGAATCCTCTTACCCTCCCCCAACCTCCTGCCATCTCTGGCCTACACCCCAGCTCTTGTAGGCTTAAATAGATAAATCTTTTTTTTTTGTGGGACCCTCCTCGGTGGCCGGGGCCAGCACTGCAGAGGCTACGTAAGGGGGCAGCCTCGCGCTCAACCACTGCGCCACCAGGGGAGGCCCAAAAAGATAAATCTTTAAAAGAAAAAAAAGAATTAAAGAGAGCTTTTCATTGTAATCAGTGATGGCCCCAGGGGCACTCACGAAGGCTTTAGTCTCCTGCTCTTTCAGGTCTCTTCCTCCTTCAGCCAATCCACCCTTAAAGTAAAAATTTCATCACAATGAGACTCATTATGTCCCAGCAGATCTAATTCAAATTCTGCAGACAATAGCTTCTGGCCAAACTGTGACCCCAAATCCCCTCTAGAACTGTAGAACCTCTAATGAGGTTGAAAACTTGAATTCTCTCCTGTACTTCTTCTTCTTCTTTTTTTTTTTAAACAGTAATTAATTACTTGGCGGTTGACAAAGTCTTTTTTTTTTTTTTTACTCCAGTGGAGAGAAAAAATAAGCATTCCCCCAAAAGACTCAGTATTTCTCAAATTTCAGACTGAAAAAAAGCAACAGAGGAGCATATATAGGTTTCCGAGGTCTTATACCAAAAGTTTTGATTCAGTAGGTCTGAGTAGGATCCAGGAATATGCATTTAAAATAAATGACTTAAGTTATTCAAGATACAGCGGGCCTATGGTGTGCAGATTACACCTTGAGACACATTCGTTTGAATGCACATCCAGGAGTGCATTATTTCCAGGTACTCTTGCAATAGTGGGGGGGAATGGAAATTGGGGGAATACTGGTTTTCTAGTACTCTAAATGTCCTGCAAAGAGAAAAAAGCTGAATGCAAGGACATGACTGACTTCGCACAAGTTTGACAAACAATAAGCCTTGGTTTTATGAAAAATACATCTAAAGGAGTTGTATTCTTTTCACTTCATGTTATCTTCTTCCCTTCAGACCTGAGCATAACTCAGGCCTCTTTGAGTTCATGTGTGAGCAGAGAACCCAAAGGCTGGCTTTTTTTTTTTCATTGCCAACCTGTCCTTTTCCCAACATACTTTTAATATAAAGGTGATGTTAAGAGCAGGAGATTTGCTTTGAGAATTGGGCCTGGCATCCATTTTTTATCTGAATGCACTCTCTTTGCTTCCAGGATGCATCAGGACTACAGAAATATCACCTTCAAACTCTAGCTCTTGCTCATCAATTTGGGGTGGGTCAGACACCTCTCATTTGCTTTTAGGTCTTTCTTCAGGGGTGGGAAATCTTATTGCTTTGATTCTTTAGACAGGAGGGTACGAAAATTATCAAATAGCATTTTCCACTTGGTCATTTTGAAGCAAAAAGCAACTTTTAAATTTGGAAGAGGCATGGCAGTTAATTTTTTTTTAAGTTCCTAATGGTTTTACATCACAGTATAGCTGTGAGTTTGCCACGGCACTCATACCCTACACCTCAATCCATCCTTTCAGCTCCTTGCATTACCTTTCATGTCTTGCTCCATATCCTAACAACATATTCCACTCTCCTCTTTCTTTATCTCCACCTTTACTTTTGCAACCTGCTGGTCATAGTAGTCAAAAAGCCCTAGGATATCAATCAAATGAGTCTTCTAAAGTGAGCAAAGACCTATGGATATGCTGTTGTACTTGATTTCATTATTAATAGCAAGGACTCACATAACACCATATACCAGGTATTGCTCTAAACACTTAGCAAATAATAACTTATTTAATCCTTATTAACTTATTTAATCCTTATATGAAATAGGTATTATTATAAAAATATAATAAACTCATTTTATAGGTGAGGAAACTGAAGTATAGAATGGTTAAGTAACACACAAGTAGCTAAGTGGGGGAGTCAGGATTCAAACTCTCTCTCCGTGTTCTTAGTCACTATCAATATTGCCCACCTAAGAAGGCAAAATCAAGTCAAGCAAAAGCCAAGAAAACCCCCCCAAACAAGCAAAAAATCTATTCTTAAACAAAAAAGCTATTTTCAAGGACACTTGAGAAAAGGAGATAAAGTACAACAACCTAATTTGAAGCTGTGCTCACGGGTCTTGTATCATTTATACATTCATTAATACAGTCCCACAAACTATTAAATCTGTTAATAATAACCCAGCACAACTGATAATTATTCAGCACATGCCAATAACTATTTTGTTTAATACTCACCCCACTGAAGGCTGGTTTAATAGTTTCTTTACCAAATGTTTTCATTATAATCATTTTTAGAGAATTACCATTGTTTTATATCCTTGTTAGTATTTTTATTTATTTTTTACAACATTATTCATTTTTAAACAATATTTGCTCCCCCCCCCATCCTTGTTAGTATTTTGAGGGCATAGGACTCCCTCCTCAGGGTAGTCACCATTTTTTGCTAAATGATAATATACCAAAGAGAACTATCCTTCCAGCATTATTGGTTCTCAGAATTCTGTAAAATCAGAATACTGTGCCCAGGAACCCTGGTAGAATAATAACTGCATCTACTTTGAGGAATAGAGACACAAGAGACCCAAACGGAAGCAGCCTTTTACCACCATCTCTCAGGGGATGCCAATACTCGGGATCCTTCCAGAAGCTACTTGTTTTGGGAAAAGTCTCAATTGCATTTTCAATCTCCCACAAATTAGCCACAAGATCCAAGTCAGGTCCTGAATCTGTTTCCTACCTTTCTCATATTTTTTTGAGGTCCAAGTTAACACTATTTAACTGTAAATGTCTAGAAAATGTAAGGTAATATTTCAAATGGTTCTGATAAATATATTGTTATTCTATTTATCTAAAGAAATTGTGATTGTCTGGATTTAATTTGAGGTTGACTGTGTCTTTCCCTCCTCTCCCCTCAAGTAAATTTCTTGAGGGCAGGAGCTATGTCTTACTTGTCACTTAAGAGTGTTTCGGGCAAATAGCAGTGATCAATAAATGTTTCCTGAATGAATGAATGAATGAATGAATGACTAAAAGGAATTGTCAAAGGAATTTTGAGGTCGCTCTCTAGGGTGAGGTGAACACAGGGGAGGAGAAACCATTCACCATACCTGCTTCAACCACATGGTCGATGGTGGGAAACCTTTTGTACACAGCTGTGCTCACCGAGCGGAAGATGAGCAGGGAAGTGAGGTTTACATAGCGCATCAGCGTCCTTCTGAGCAGACGCCCGTGCTCGTCGCTTCCGTGAACACTGCTGGAGATGAGGAACATCAGCCTGTCCGGCCAGGGCAGATTCACAAACTGGTTCCACCATCGGTTCACTACCAGAGTCACATAAAACCCTGTAGGACAACAGGAAATTATAAAGCAATTTCCTATAGCAGACACGTTGCTGGCACTGATGCTTTAGCAGAATTTTAGCCTTTGTGGGGGTTGGGGTATAAAAATGTTATTAGCCATACCTTATGATTTTGCCCTCCAGAAAAAAGGTAATTTGTGCCTGGCAATGCTGTAGCACCCGTTAGAATTCAAATGTTGATGGCAAAAAAATGGAAAGTTAGTGAAGAGAAAGCTTAATTGTCCAACAGAGTATTACCTCAAACTTGTTGGGGGTTAATTTAGCCAAAGCAACCCTGAAGGCAAACCTTAAGGATGATTCTGGTTCTATTGCAAGCGGTGGTTTTCAGGCATGCCTCTCAGCTTGGACACACTCCCATGCAGAGTCATTGGTGTCATCCTAAAGGAGACAGCTGTGTGGCTGCATTCTGCGTGGTACCTATACTTACCAAGCACAAAGGTTACTGGAATTTGTTCAGCATATCTGTCACAGTAAATTGATAATTTTTCAAAGTAACGTTTTTGGGCTCCTGTAAGTAACAATCTGGAGCAAAAATAAAATGCACAGCCCTTTATGATATTATACTTCTGCACCTGCTTTGCAAGTGACATTAAGTGCAAACAATTAAGCACAAATAATCTTAAATTTTTTAAGGAGCAATAACTTTTCTACTTAAGCGGATGTATCTGAAAAGCTTTTAAATCGCTGATGTTCCAATTACGAACATTTTTAATACTAAATATTATCGACCACATGATAGTGGGATTTTGTTAACCATTTTATTTTTAAATACTTTATATTTTTAAACTTTACAATGATCAATGCTTTGCATTTGGAGTAAGATATCATCTGAAAGAGTCCATTTTTCAATTATTCATCAGGTCTACTTTAAAAATGTGTCTTGATTAAATGGATTAAAGTAATTATTAAATAATAATCCTGAATTTTGACTTCTTGATTTTGCTTTCCCTGAATATTACTCAGCACAAGGGATGTAATTGCTCACTTTAAAGCTCAATTATTTAAAATGTAAATCACGAAGACCTAGCAATTTTTATTATTAAAATTGGTGGGTTTATATTTATATCAAATATCAAAATTTATAATATAGATCTGACCCAAACCCATTTTCTGCTATTGTTAAACATATATTCATTTAATAGAACTATTATGGATAATTACATTTTTGCAAGGAGATTCAAATCATAGAAAAAGTCTCAAAGGCAAGTAAATAATGATCAAAATTTAGAAAGAGAAGCATCTCAAATGAATTTACATAAATGAATGAGTGCAGCTGGTCAAGGGAGGCAGGAATCCCAGGGAGCTGCCATTGTAACATATGTCAGATGCCCTTTTAGGTCAGTAGCAGTTTGATGAAGGAAGCAGAGGGATGATAAGGTAACAGTGAACCACCAATCAGATGGCAGATGCGGAACTGCTGGTACAGCTGGTGCTGAGATGGAGGGTGTTGGGGTCAGGGGTGGGCTTGGAGTTCCTGCCTCAACTTTGCAGGAGGTGTCAGAATTTCTGAAGTCAGAAAAAGACTGACAAGAGAGGCATCAGCTAGTGGCACAGGCCTATCAGGGTCATGCTGAGGACCAAGTTATCTAAATGTTTTTGATACTCAAATAGGGATGGTGAGAGAGGATTTAACATGGAAAGCATGGGCTTCAAAGGAAGCCAGACTTGAATCCAGATCTGTCAGATTTGGATTTTGAGCATATTTAAAATCTCTCTGAGCCTCAGTTTTTTCATTTGTTATAGGGTTAAACCTTTCATTTGTTAAAGGATTAAAGAATAGAATCTATACAAAACCACTTGACATGGTATCGTACTTAATAGTTAAGTGGTTTTAGTATTAATAATTTGCCAAGGAAAATATTTAGTTAACAGACAAAGAAATTTAACTAAGTCAAAAGTACTGTAAGAATTATTTTGTCAAATCCATCCCAATGTAGGAAGAGATATAATCAAGTAAATGAATCCTGGTTCTGTCTTATAATTTTTGCTAATCATAAATATTTGCATATAATGGGATTTAATAAAACAGGGTCATTAGTAGGCCAGAGAATGAAGCTATGTTTATGTATTTTTACAACCAGATTTGACTTTCTTCACAAATTCAGCTTATAGTCAACTATAAGGAACTCTTTCAGTACATTTTTTTTCAGTTGAACTTAAATGATAAGCACTCTTTGGTCTTTAGGAAAAACATATGCATACAATTTTGTGGAATATAGATAAGATATTGGAGCCGAAGGTACAGCTCCATAGAGCATTTCTGGCTGCATTGCAACTGTTCTGAGAGCTATGCTATTCTAAGTAGCAGTAGCAGCAGTAGATACACATTAGTAAAAATAAACTAATGAGACAATTATCCTGAACAGTCATGTGTCTCCCACCATTTCATATTCTGAAGAATTAGGTGACACATCAATAATTGTCAATAATATCTTATAAGACATAGTTAAGAGTTATTAAAGGTTTTTAATGAAACTTCCCCTGTTAAGATATTTTGCCAAAATGTATACCAATATATACATTTGTTTGGAATAGTAGCTTCCATGTGTAGCAAAATTGCTCTTCCTATTTTACGTTTGATAGTTATCAGCCAGCCAAATTAATATCCCTCTTCTTCAAATGGGGTCCTGTTGCTGCAAGGAAGAATGCAGATGAGAGCAGTGATAGACAAATTTGTTCATCTGTATGCGGAAGAGAAATAACAAACTAATGCACATAGAAAAGGTGGAAATACAGCCTCAAAAACCTTTACCTTTTATATTTTAAGCTTTCATTTCTCCAGAGAAATGAATAATTAAAATTTAAAAATTAAATTAAAATTAATTTAAAAAACTCGTGAAGCTTTCCTTTTATAATACTGATAAAATTTTATTGAGATTATAATTTTTAGTTATAAAAGTGTTTCTTGGACATGATATTGCTCAAATTTTCTGTCAATGGGACAGGCATAGGTTGTGATGACATAAAGAATAAACATCTTCTGTGACCTAACATTCCCCAAATTTAGAAAATATGAAGAAAATAAATTATTTGGGGGGCCTTTTCTTTAGTTAAGGTTATTGGTAGCATTGATGGACATCATCCTAGGTAAGATCTGATCATTCCAGGCAAAAGGAAGGCCAGCTGCCTGATAGTCACCATTCACAAGCATGTTAATTTCATTGGTAGTTGCTATAGGCTGTCAACTCACAAATTCAAACTATGAATGTCATAGTTGAGAGAGGCACAAATAATTACTTGTCTGTGGACTTTGCCATTCAAATTATCATGTAGTGAGGATTAAGTATAAATCTTCCATTTTATGTTTATAAAAACATTCTTGAAGCACAATACGTCATCATGATCAATTAACGTGGGGGTGGGATGTGAGCCACCTGAACATGATGGTTAGAGTCTATTTAACATCCTAGAAATGGTTAGGTGTGGATTAAATACCCTGTCCCGAGGAGAAGAAGGCAACAGAGAGGATCATGCAAAGGAGAAGGTTACATAATGCAAAAGTCAGCGGCAACCAGAGATCTGATTTTTGAGACTGTATTCTTACATATTTGAGGCCATCTAAGGAGACATGCAAAGAAAAGTACCTGTACACCAAACTTATCGCTGTATAGAGAACAGCAAAAACAATAAACTCCCTGTACAGTAGTTTGTAGATGCTGCCTCTCCACTTGAGGAGTAACCTATGAAATCCAAAAAAAGTCGCATTTGCTACTTTACTGGAGTAAGTGACAGTCATCTTGGATAGATTTTTCTAGAAGGGCAAGAAGAAAAAAAAAACAAGAAAAAGGCAATGTTTAAAATAGAGCACAAATCTGTATCTCAAAGGAAACCTGAGAGCAGCCAGCCAGCTATCTCTCCCTTTTGTCTTTCTGTTTGTCCAATTTGGAATTTGTAGAAAAACACTAACTCAGTGCTAAATTTTTTAGTAGGTAGGAAAGAGGAAGAAAGAATTTCTTGGAAAGAGATATATTAGAAATTTTAAGGCTGTTTTAATATCTAAATATTATTTTATGTTATATAACCATTGCTCAAAAATCTTTGAATGAATAAATGAGATATATGAGATAAGTTATACTGTTGTTTATCATTCCTTTTCTTGATGCACAGAAAGATTTAGGATGTGTATTTGCAATATTAATTGATATTTTTGAGTGCAGTGACCAAACTAATTGCTTGGTCTTTCATTTGCTAGCATGTTTAAAGAAATATTTATTTTATCTTTAAACTTCCTAAGGGAAAGTATGGCTTTCTTCTTAGAAATCAAGAAATATTGTTGGAAAGAAGCAGGCACCTGTGAGAATTTACTGGATGGCTTGCTTTGGGTGGCTCTAGGAGGATGCAGGTCTGGTGGTCTCCAAGGGAATAGAAGCACTCTGTGCTTCAAAGGGTAGATAAAGTGTTGGGCCACCGTGCTACACTTTCCCATTGAAAATTCTTGCCTAAAATGTTTAAGGATGGCTCACTTTCTGTTTGGAGGTGAACCAAATGAGGCAAATGTTTAGGACTCTTTCCATTTGGATTTGTTCCACGGATGTGGATGAGAACTGAGCCCCAGAGGCTGTTCTCCAGCGAGTTTTCTGGAATTTCATGGCTTTTCACCAAGACACTGAACATTCAGGTTTTGAGAGAGGGCCCAAAAGCTCATCTTTGTTTGAAAGTCCTGCTCAAGAATTCTCTACCTTGGAGCATACACAGATAATGAAGTTTCTTTGAAACCTCTTTATTTTTTCAAAAGGTTCGATGAGAAGAGTCTTAGAGAGCTACTTAGGCTGAAATTATGGAGCGTTTATGTAGAAGTATAATAGATAAGAAACTAATCCTAGAGCAGATTTCTTATAGAAAGTAGCCTACAAAACATTTTACTATAAACAAGAAAATTTTCTGTCTTTATTCACAGGTGGGGAAACAATCCAACTTTTAATTTGCCTAGTTTCTCTAAGGAAATAAAGACCTAGATTTATAGTCACAGTATTTTTTTTATAATCGCAAACTTAAGCCTTCAACATTATTGACTTTAATAAAGAAATGAGGGCTTTTTGGCATAAATAAATGGCATTCCAAAAGGATGGGACTCATGCCACAAAGCCAGTTTCACGTTTCCATCCTTACCTTGTCTATTTGTCTAATATGAATAGAGCTAAACTTGAGAAAGAAGCAGAGTAGATTAAGCCCATTTCATAATTCATCCTCATGGGCATACTAGTTTTAAATAACAGTCCTTGAATAACTTTCCTTTCTTTCATTTCCTACTTCACTTCTATTTTAGCTCTGTCAGAAAAACCAAAGATTATGTAGAGTCGAGGTCAAATTTAAAATGCATAGGTATAGGTATACTCTTTGTGCACTAACCTATTTCTTTGGTTTGGAGTCTTCCACGGGAAAGAAACTTCAAATTTCAGACTCCCCCAGAAGAGGCGCCTTCAGTTCGGTGTTGAGCTCCCGGTCTCACCTTCTCTCACACACAGACTTTCTGTTTGCTGGCCACTGAGAGGATCCAAGCGCAGCGAGAACAGGAGTGAAATGTTTTTCCACTTGTGGAGGCCTGTTTATGCCAATTTGCCCACTGATGACAGTTATAGCCGGGAACAAACAGAAGCAACAGCTGCTGATGTTGCTTTTTTCTAATCTATAATTATAACTCCACCTGCCGCCCAAAGTAGCCCTTTGAATGAGGAGTCGGAGGTGACGCGAAGGAAGTGGGGCCGTTTTCATTTTGACTCTACCCTGGAATCAAGGAAGATAGACTGTTTTTTCTCCTAGCGAGTTCTAAAGAGGCTCCACCAGTCAGGTGAGGGAATTAAGACAGCTCTGGTGTGCTTAAGATGAAGAATACATTCTTGTGAAACCATAAGCTGGGGCAGACAAGAATATAAACAGGATGCTCACTTATTTTAGAGGCATTAGGAATGCTCCTTCACCAGAAGCAGCGGACATAGGATGGAGAGTTGTGCACGCACGTGTGTGTGTGTGTGTGTGTGTGTGTGTACGCACGTGTGTGTGTCTTAGAGGGCATGGAGAATTATTCCTTGTGATGACTGGTATGAGAGAAAACAACACACTGGTTAATTATACTAGTTATCCTTCCCATGGTCAGCTAGGAAATTTTAAAAATTATTCAAATATTTTCTCTTTGGTTGATTATGCCTCAGTATTTTTCTTATTGAAAGAGAGAATAGATCGGTCTTCTTTAAATAGGACGAGATAAATAATTTCAGGGCTAATTCTGGGGATCTTTTCAACTTTCTAAAGTTACATGTGCACACATATTGCATCTTACATTTAAATAAAATGGTCTAAAAATATATTTTTGTGGAAAAAGATATATTAAAAAATGGTTCTTCTAAAATTGGAAATATAAACATTTAAATGTCTTTTCTACAGCATTTGTAAGTTTCCTATGTATTTAATTGGCTTATATATTTTAAATCAGAGCAAAGACAGAGTTATACATGTCTAATTTCACGTCCCAAACCTGTTTAGAGCGCCAGCACAAGCCCTCTGCAGACTGGACATGCAATATGTACCTGTTTGAGTATCACCTTACCTCCACTGTTATACTTCTGTTAGTATGTTTGTGGGAATCTGTGAACATTTAAAAAGCACATGTACCTTTTATATTTGGGTTGCCATGAAAAGTAGCTGGATACTCTTAATATTGCATTGATAAAAGTTTACAAAACTGATTGACGTTATAATTTTGAGCACATGTAAACTCAAGTGTTTATGAAATAAAAATGTTGGAGGTATTTAAAAGAAACTCTGATGGGTCCTATAGGATGTGCACTAGCTCTAATGTGGCAGGATCCCTGGCTGTCATGGCTTCATTACCCGGGATCTGCCTCCACTGTGGGCACTCTCAGCATGGCGTCTGGCTGAGCATGGTGTAAATGGGGGTAATTATGTTCATCTCACCCATCTGGCTGTTTTGGGGAATGACTAAGTGATGGTTGAAATAACATTCTATATGGAACTGATCAATAATGATTAGATTATGAGAACAGTCCATTGTTAAGTCCTCAGTGTTGTATTTCTAAGAGATGCTACAAGCTGCCGTGCAGAAATTAACTCATTAGCCACCAAAGCCTATTTCAAAATAGCCAACAAACCAAATTTCAAAGTTAACTGTTCATGTGACTTTTTGGAGAAAATCTTAAAGTTTTTTTAATTTAAAATTGACTTGCTTTCCACATCATAAAAATAACATGTGTTTATAAAGAGATGGAAAAAGTAAAACAGCATACAAAAAGAGTGGTCTTTATTATGTTACTCTAAAGGAGAGCTAATCATTTGTTAATCATCTTTCTTTTTTGTAGAAAAGATTTTGTCTCCTATAATTCATAGCAAATGCTGTGACAGGCATTTTCAGGGCTCTGTGAAAGATATGTTAATTGTATTTTTTTTTGATAGAAAGCATCAAGTTATGTGATCCTGATCACTCTGATTTTCAACAGTCCTGATAAGTGCTTTTGTCTTTGATTCCAGTAAACCTCTAGTGACAGGACAATAAATAAAAAACAACTGATCATTTCCAAGTGATGGGAAACTTATATTCATTCTTAGATGTCTAGATAAATCACTCTTTGTTCCTTAAGGGAACAGAAAACAACAGGCTCAGTTAACCTTTGCTACCTATTTTCAAAGGAGAATCAGCTATTTTAAAAGACCTACATTCATTTTAATTAATTAATTTTTTATTGAGGTAACATTGATTTACAACATTGTATGTGATTTAAAGGTATAGGGTATCTCCCTTCAGGTGTATGTTCCCACATCACACCCAACACAAGGCACCAAAAGTCCTTTACCATAGCCCATGTGCTACTCCCACTTTTTTCTCTCCACTGTCTTCCTTCCCTTCTGGTAACCTCAATACTACAGTCATATTTCTAAGGTTTGTTATTAGTTTGGTTTTATCTGACCCTTTGTTTTCTTTCTGTATATTTACCATATAAGTGATACCTGGTATTTATCTTTTCTTTCTGACTTATTTTGCTTAGTATACTCTTGGCTTCTTTGTAGATTAACTTTCATATAAGTATGGGCTTATTTGTGGGCTTTCAACTCCATTCCATTTGTCTGTGTCTTTTAAAAACAGTGCCATACTGTTTTGATTATTGTAGCTTTTTAGTACAGTTTGAAGTCTAGCAGTATGATATCACCATTCTTCCTCCTTTTGTTTAGTCAGGATTGCTTTGGTTAGTCAGTGGACAAATATATTTTAAACTTATTGACACACTCTATTCATGTGAGAAATCTTTTGCCAATTTTTTTCTGAGTGTTTGTTGAAAACATAAGTAGGTATGTGTAAAACTTTGCAATAAACTATTAACCAAGACCAGAAATTGTTTTATTTTGAGAATTTGATTCTGACACTTCAGATTCTTAGACATTATCAAATGGGGAATAAAGAGTCAATAAACATTTTTGAACAGGAAAAAGACTTGAAAAAATATGTGTTGCAGGAAGGTGAGTCTGTGAGAAGGGAGTGTGATGATTTTGAGTGGGCAGGGACTATAGCAAGGGAATCAGTATGAAGGTTATTATTGTACTGGTATGAACTGGGGTGATGGGTAAGTGGAGGAAGGATGGTGAGAGAGAGTTCACAGGTTAACTGTCTCTAGAGGGAGGAAGAAAGGTGAGAGGAAAGTGAATGAGAGGAGAGGGAGAACTCTTGCTTTGTCCTTTGAGCCTGTTTGCTCATGAAAAACAAACACTAGAGAAAATGATTCTCAAATTCCTTTAGTGAAATGGTACTTTGTAGGGAGCCACACAATTTTGATATATTTTATTTAATCTGGCAAATGAGAATATTTTATTAGCATAAGTGGATGTAAAGTAAAGATCACAATTAGGAGCTCACGTGCCCATGTAAAATCAAATTGTAGAACTGCGTATGATTAGCTGAGCCTCAGTTTTCCTGTTGATAAATGTTTCTGGCACTTACTCATCTTGCTATGTGCTAGAGATCTCTAGAAAAAAGACAGTAGCCAGTGCCAAAGGTTGAAGGAAAATTCAGAGAAACTTTTAAATGAACTTTTACTCATTAGTTTTTTTTCCCCATTGCAGAAAACCTGGGTACAGTTTGAGAACCATTGTAATGACTTTTTTTTTTTCCCTATAGATTACAACCTTTTCTTGGCCCTGTGTACCGAAAGCTTCTTGAGAACTTATACTTTACTCTTTCTTGGTTTTTCCTATTTTTTCCTGGCTGCCATGACAGATGCAACAGCAGATACCAAGCAGCTGGTTGAGATAAGTCTTGTATCAATCCAGATGTGTGGTTTCTGATACAGGATGTTGGAGAGGGACCTGCCAAAAATCAAACCAAAGAGGGTGGGGAACCAGTTCAATTAATTTTTTATCTTTGTTTTCAGAGAGAGAAATGACTAACTCCAGGACTGGAGAGATTATTGAATTTTATTACAGCTGAAGCTTTAAACTCACAAGAGACTGGATATTTAAGGAGTCATCACTATTTTCCTTGCACAGAGTAATTGCCGACACAACAAAACAGAAATGCATTAGTTCAAATTCTGAAGGTTATCTTTTTCAAATGGAAGCTGTGGAAACTTTGTTCTATTTTAGGGATGAAAGCTTAGAGTCTAGAGAATTATTACTATGGCACTTAAAGTATATCCTGTACTTTATAATCAATGATATTTCTCAAATGGATGGTACCGCTTAGCTCAGGCACATTTCAGATCCCTAAAAAATTGCAATGCAGAATCAATTGAAAATTAGCTGAATTTCACAAGAAAAGGCATGCAAATTATTTATTCATAATGGCTATAAAATTCTGATACTTCACTAGCATAATGGTAGAAAGTAGATATTCTGGAATTATATTACCTTGTGAGTACAAGGAAGATATAGCTAAATAGGGAAGATTCTATGTGTAAATACTTGAAAATTCTAAAACCCCTTTTCTTATGGTAAAATATACGTGGGAATGAAAAAAAGTTGGTTTTGGTTATTTAATATGGTACACTGTGCTTTCTGAAAACTTAATTTTTTAGTTTCTTTTTTTAAAGATTTATTTATTTATGCATACAAGAGCTGGGGTGCAGGTCAGAGATGCAGGGGGGTGAGAGGATTCAGCAGAGACCACGTGGGGAACAGCGTGGGAAATCCACTGCTGAGGGGAGCAGAGGGCAAGACAGGAGAGGTCTGCTGCACCATGTGGGTCACCTCCCTGGCCAGGGATCAAACTCATGCTACAGTGGCTGCAGATAGCTTCATAGTGCTTCATCTTAACCCCTTTTTTAGTTTCTTAATACAGAAAATCTCCTTAATAGTGGTTACTGCTGGGGAGATAAGTGGGTTTGGAGTAAGAAGTTAAGGAGAAACTTCAGTTTTTACTCCATTTTTTTATTTAAAAAATAGCATTTACATATTCATATTTAATCACATGCAATAAAAACTCTTATTTGATGCCAGTTCTAAATTTCTACCTCCAGTACACACCTTCACCTAACAGCAGACTTAGTTGATATTCT